CGCGAAAGCCGCAGAGCCTAACTCCTCTCAGTCCTACACCCACAGTTGCTAAATGTCTAGGACCCGGAGTGTTCCCTTATTCCCTTTTTTGGGGGGTTCGGGTTCCTTACAACACCCAATAGACCAAAAAGGGCACCTTTCTTATTACTAGGTTACTCTTAGGTCCGGATGTACAGGCGCAGCCGTGGCACCCAGGCAGCACTTGCTGCACGAGCCATCCTACAGGAGGCTGGGGGGAAAGCTGTGTGATGCTTCGTGCCCGCATGCCTGAGGTACACAAATATGTAAGAGATTCAAATATCTCGGTGTACGAGTAAGTAAGTAAGTAAGTCAGAAAATGAGTGTGTATTTATGTATGGATGGATGGATGGATGCAGGCATGTATGTATGGACGTACGCATCTATGTGCCTGGTAAGCTCCTGCGTTTATGCATGAGTTTACTACTTTTCGTATGTGCATACATGTAAGCTCGTACAGACTGAACTACAGCAACTGTGCACACAGATATTATATGTGTTCGTATACATGTATATGTATGTATATATGTACAGCTTTATATGTATATGTATATGTATACTTCATATACACATATACATGCATATGGTGTATATATATATATACATACACATGTGTGCATATATATATATATATACATCTATATTCACAACTTAACAAACATGTGAACACCCTTGCCTACGCCTGACCCTCTAGAACCCCCCCAAAGTCACAAGCAAAATCCGAACGGCTAAAGCGCGCCGAGGCCCGAAACTCCACTCCTGCCAAGGACCAACTGACTCTTGAAAGTAGGGGCCCTACTCACTGATACTACGGTTGATGATATAACTCCTGCATTGCCTGAAGGACCCTAAACTATGAGAATTGAAAAATTATGGCATATTCCTTATTCTGGGTAATGCATCCTTATTCTGGGTAATGCAGGATTTATATCATCAACCGTATGAATCCCAATGTGCTACATGGACCTTAAACCCCTTTTTTAAAGTGTAAAAAAGGAGAACGGAAGATACCCCGATATTGTGAATCCCTACACGACATATATGGACCTTAAACCCTGTTTGTAGTGAAAAAAACTGAGGCCCTTTTTGTAGTGAAAAAACTGAAGCCCTTTTTGTATTGAAAAAATTGAAGCCCTTTCTGTAGTGAGAAAAACTGGAGAAGCCAGAGACAGAAGAGTGAAAAGTCACGCAAGGCCGCCGGCCGTCGTAGCCAGGCTCGGCTCGCGGTTCACCTTGGGGGGGGGGTTGTGTGTGTTGATCTACGGGCCTCAATAGTTCGAATCCCATTATACTAGAGTTATAATAGGGAGCTCCCAAAATGGTACAGGTAATTATTAAGGCCCCCATATTAGGTTTGGGGGGTGTTCGGTTTAGGGTTTAGGGTGTACGTCGAGGCCCAGGGGACGCAGTAAGTCGGTTGTAAGTAGGGTTACATACAGGGTACTTATAACTACTTATAACCTACTTACTAAGTCCCCTGGGTGTCAAAGTAGGTTTCGGGGTTGTTGTTGAATTATAACTGTGACTCTTAGAAATAATATTGCTTTTGCTCGTGTGAGTTAGTATGTTCGATTTAGGTTTAGGGTTTAGGGCTCGGGTTTGCCATTGTGTATTATGACTGTTTGCTGCATTTTCTTGTTTGTGATTACGTTCTAGTCTAAGTTCTTTGACATTGATGTGTGGACATGTTCGTTGCGGTAATTGCTACTGCAAGTCTCCTTCATTGTTTCTTATGGTGCTTATGATGGTTAAGATCAGTACTGACACTTTTCTTGTAGCTATGACTATTGCCACTTCTTGTCGCTATTGTGTTGCTGTGGGCAGTGGTCTGAACATGTGATGTTGTTGTTATGGTTTCTGCCACTGATATGTCCTACGAAGTCTCCTTCAATATTCCGAGAGGAAGGTGTGCTTCATAGGGAGGGTCTCGGTTGAGTACTCCTATACCACAGTGTGCTCATTGGAGTTCAGTCTCGCGGATAGTTTTATTGCATCAAAGGGGGGTAATATACGGGCCTTAGCAGTTACATGTAGAAATAAGATCCCCAGTTTCTCGCTATGTGATGAAACTATGACTTACCCCAAACCTGTGTGTTTAATTTTTAAGCAGTTCCGAAACTTTATCCCCTAAACCTTTACATGCAAAGGTATTCTGGATGCTGAACAGGCCGATGGACAAGAGTCCAGACAAAACGAACTATCTTAATTGGAGGATCCCTCGAAGGAGCCCTTTAAGGTACCCTTAAAAGGAGCCCTTTAAACGAGCCCTTTGTTTTAAATGATCACCAAAACGATCCTTTAAAGGAGCCCTAAGGATCTCTCCTAAAAGGAGCCATTTAAAAGAGCTCGTTAAAGGATCCTCTAAAGGATCCTTTTACAGGATCCTTTAAAGGAATCCGATCTGAGCCCGCGTCCGAGGTGGGGGGAGCTTTGGAGCAACGGCCGCGGGCTCAGCAGTCGGTCCTTAAAGGGATCTATAGGGCTCCTTAAAGGGATCTATAGGGGTTCCTTATAATGGGATCTATAGGGGTAGTCTTACCTTTGGTTAGTAGGGAATGGAAGAATGGTAGTAATAGTAGTTCTAATTGTACCCCGTTCCCCCATCCCCTACTAACCAAAGGTAGGTAAAAGGATCCTTGAAAGGGAGTCTTTAAAAGGAAGGGCTTGAAGGGGTCCCTGAAACGGATCCTGCAAGGAATCACTGAAGGACTCCTTAAAGGGATTCTTTAAGGGATCCCTTAAAGGATCCTGTGAAGGATCCCTTAAAGGGCTCCTTAAGGGGAATACTGAACAGCTCCTTTGAGGGCTCCTGTAAGGGATCCTTGAAGGGGAGTCCCTAAGGCTACAAAAGGGTCCAGGTTTCGAATGGCTCACTTCCAGTGACTCATGTCTGTCTTGGGCAAATCCTAGACCCCCCCAAAAAAAACCCTAATCCCTAAACCCTAAACCTTAATTAAGCCCTTCATTCAAGTAGGGCTAGCGACGCGAAAGTCCGGGCTGGGAGGCTGGACGACCTGCTCTTGAGCCGCGATGCTCGGAATGCGAGCATGCAGCAGAGTGGCTTTGCTGCAGACTCCCCCGCGGAGACTTTGGTGGCCTTTAATAAAGGGTTCTTTTCCCAAAGGGTCCTAGGTACTGTTTTGGGGGATACTCCCCCATATCATAGTAGTAGTTCCTGATATGGAAACCCAGGAATATACCTTATATATTATAAGGGGATTCATATTATATTTAAGCCATATTCCTTAATTAAGGGGTATTGGTTAGAAGCTGCCCCCACCCTGTAATAGTGACCATATGGGTTATATTAATATTAGATTAGGGCCCTATTATATTCCTATTATACCACTATTACAGGGTGGGGGCAGCTTCTAAGGTATTGGGCTCCTTGGGAATCCTACATTCTACTTTTGGGGGGGGAATGCTCTAAGCGGTTTTTGTTTGAGGGTTCCTTTTGATTCTAATCAGGAGACCTCCGGTTGCCTTTATAGGGTTCCTTTAAGGGGGTTCCTTTAAAGGCTTCTCCTGAGGCTTATAGGGTTCCTTTAAAGGGTTCTACGGTTTAGGGTTTAGGGTTTAGGGTTTAGGGTTTAGGGTTTAGGGTTTAGGGTTCTTTTGAGGATTCTAGAAGAGTACTATAGAGACACGGGATGTGTGGTTTTTTTTGTTTTAAGCGCACGCGCAAAGCTGGTCAGTATTTCGAGTTTTCTTAGATAGCCAATGGGGGAGGTTTAGGGTTTAGGGTTTAGGGAACTTTAAACTTTTTGGCCCTATATATTAGGTCTACCTCAGAAAGTTCAAACTTTTTTGGGCCCGGTTATTGAAGGAGAGAGTGTTTGGGTGGGGCAGTTTGGGCTCCGCATGGAGAAGTCCAAGGCCCTGAAGTGACATTCATTTCGGGATGCGATCTCGGAGATCCACATGTAGCGTAAGACATGCCGAGGGGTCGGAAGGTGCTGAGATAGATTAGATTCGAGATCGCACGCCAGTGAGGAATGTTGAAGGTTGAAGGTTTCGTGGATAATATGCCCGTCAATTGAATGACAGCTAAAGGAGTCTCTGTTTAGAACAGATGGCGGGCCTCCGCACTTGGAATACGGGTTCTTGAAAGCTTCTATTTGGGCTCTAGAACAAAACCTGATCTAGCCGGCTGGCAGGATTTCAGGGGACTTCGTAAGCAAGGTTCAAAGTACTTTAACTGGGGGGACTTACATAGTCCTACGAGCATTAAGTGCAGACTTGTGCTGTAGGGGCCTAGAACAGGGCTTCATCAGGGCTTGATATGTAGATTATGTAGATGGGAGTTTCACCAAATCATCGAATCCTTCCGAAAAGTTTTGGGGAGAGGTTCAGGCTCTAGGGGCCCTTGGATGAAGAACCCGAGACTGTTCCATCTATGGGTCAGCCTCGAGATGCCAACAGAAGGCCATCGGCAGAGGAGAGCACCCCCTAAACCCTAAACCCTGAACCCTAACCGAAGAAAAGGCCATCGGCAGAGAGCGCCGGCTGCTGCTGCGGCAGTTCCGGTGTTATCCTCCCGCGGATTGTCGGAGCAGGTGGCACCACAGAAGCGCGGCTTCTTGCAGCTATTCTACCGTAGCAGGGTTCCATGAAGCATACCGTGGGAGCAGTCAGATGGAGTGCAGGTGGGTGTGGATGTATTCTTGGGTGCAGACAGTAGGATGTGTGTTTTTGGAGCTGATACAAGTCTCATTTGCTGAAACTCTGAGAGAGTTTGGGAAATCCCATGCCAGAGGAGTGCTGTAGGACTGTAGGAGGGAAAGATGCTTGCGCGGAAGAAGCGGTGCAGCTTAGATATGACCGTATGAGACGATGCCGTGAGACAACCGTTCTGATTTTCATTTTGCATCTTGGCCCTGCAGCGGTTCAAGCGCAGGTGGTCCGAGCATTTGCATTGGGCCAGGTTGTGCCGTCTTCCGGGTGCTTGTTGAGAGTTTCATCTGCTCCCCTGCTTGAACGCCATGTTCCAATGTCGGATGTGTTCGGAAAACCCCTTCAGCAGCTTGGCGGCAAGCTGGTCGGAAGCGGCTGTTAATTGTGTCTCAGATGTTTCATGCTAGACGCAAAGAAATCATGCTCAATGATCCTCAGGTGCCTTGGTGGGTGCTCCTCCCGGCAAGAGCGAGGTGGACAGCTTCCGAGCTCAGATGCGATTTCGGGATGCTTGTTCCCTGCTGTGCAGGAGAAGAAAAAGAAGAAGGACAAAGGTGAAGGCGAGGCCAGTAGCCTAATACGAATACTAATACTCATACTGATACTCATACTAATACCAATACTCATGCTAATAATACTAATGCTAATATTAATACTAATACTAATATTAGCCTGCAAATGGAGCTGCCAAAACAGTCTTGAGACCCTGGCTATGAAGCTGAGTGTTGATGTCTTCGGTCCTTGCAGAAGTACAGATTTCAAGACCCCTACAACCCTAAACCCTAAACCCTAAATAAACCCTAAACCCTAAACCCTAAATCCTAAACCCTAAACCCTAAACCCTGAACCCTGAACCCTAAACCCTAAACCCCTGAACCCTGAACCCTAAACCCTAAACCCTAAACCCTAAGACCAGGGAGCACCATTGCCCTCGACTCGAGGGTTCGGGGCTTTGTGAATTCGGGCTTCGGGTTGTGGGGTTTCGATTTGGGGTTAGTGGGTTTAGGGTTTAGGGCTTTAGGGTTTAGGGTTAGGGTTTTTTTGATTTAGGATTTAGAGGTTTAGGGTTTAGAAGGTTTAGGGTTTAGTGGGTTTCGGGCTTCGGGTTTTGGGGTTGGAGTTTAGGGTTTGTGGTTTAGGGCTGCGGGTTTAAGGTTTCGGGCTTCGGGTTTTGGGGTTCGGTTTGCGGTTTTGAATTGACAAGGGTTACTCTGGCGACTTCTTGCAGGATGATCGCTGCAATATAGAAGCCCGAGCAATGACCAACATTATCCCCTAGGGCCCGTTTTTGAAATTCTTCGAGCCCAACCATAGCTGTTCGGGATGGGTTCGTATTAGAAAAGCTAGTATGTTAGGGTTGCTGTTACCAGCTACCTTCAACTCCGCCAAGGCTAAGAAGCCCCACTTATCCTAAAGCCCACCTTGTAAAACCCTGCATAGCACTACGTACCTCAAGCAAGAGCCTACGAAGCCTCATTGAACCTTTTATGCCACCTTTTATTTTTGACGGCTATGTGTTTTTTTTGTCATGTATGTGTTCATATTTCTACAACCTGAACGCACCCTACCCCATTTGCAACAAAACCGTATGTAAAGAAATTCGCTTTAAAAGCTAGAGCTTTCTGCAATGCCACAAAGCAAGCAACCTATAGAATAGCATCCGCAAGGCAACTCCAAGTTTCTGTGAGAACCCTTACAGAACCCTAAACCCTACACCCTAAACTCTAATCCCGAAACCCTAATCCCTAATCCCTAAACTCTAAACTCTAATTAAACCCTAAACTCTTAACTCTAAACCCGAAATCCTAAACCCTGAACTCTAATCCCTAAATCCTAAACCCTAATTGGGATCGCAGGCAAGAGGAAGTCGGTATCCAAGCGAGACCAGGGCGCCTTCAACGCGCGGAACGAGGCAGAAGTGCTACTCGGCTATGCCCTTACCCAGACCCTCTTTGGAGGATCCAAACAGTAGATCCCTTGATGGGGGTTCCTGTAAAGTACCCCTAGTAGAGGTCCCCAAATTAAAGGATCTACTTTCCAGATCCTAAACCCTAAATCCTGAACTCTGAACCCTAAACCTTAAACCCTAAACCCTAAACCTTATACCCTATAGATCCTTCCGCGGGTCTGGGTAAAGGAACTCCAGGAGCTTCCCTTAATGAATCTTTTAGAGGATCTAGTAGGGTTCTATGCTAGGGTTTAGGGTTTTTTTGTGAGGTTTGTTCAAGAGACTACATGGTTCTATACTAGGGTCTAGAGTTCTATTTTAGGGTTTAGAGTTCTATATTAGGGTGTATGGTTTTATATTCGGCATTAGAGCTCCATATGGGGGTTTAGGGTTCTATATTAGAGTCTAGGGTTCTATATTAGAGTTTACTATGCCCTTAGAGCTTGTGCCACGGGGAGTATGTCAGGGCTCCTTTGTGGGTTGCTTCAAGGGTTTACAACTGTTTTAGGGCTGCTTTAAGCGTCGGTTGAGGGTTTATGGTTTAGGGTTGTTTAAAGGGTCCCTTTCAGGGGTTGCTTCGATTCAAGGGTTTCTTGTGGGTTTAGGTTTTTTTTAGGGTTCCTTTAAGGTTTGTTGTAGGGGTTTAGATCGCCCGTAGAGTTTCAAAGGCTCAAAGGCTTCCGCTAAGGGATCTTCCCTTGGATTCTATCAGGGCTCGACAAGGTTGATGATATAAATCCTGCATTACCCATAATACGGAGTATACCATAATTCCCATAGTTTAGGGTCCTTCAGCTAATGCAGGATTTATATCATCAACCGAAGTTACATATAAGGGCTTGGGGGTTGGGGGTTTAGGCTCTACAAGTAGCATCAGGTTCCGGCATTATAGGGGGCCCATTATGCTACTGTATACTTATGGTAAGGAACCCCCAACATAATATTGGTAAGTATTTAGGGCCCTATTAAGGGCTCCTTCATGGGATTATATTTGGGCTTTAGGGCGCGCTCACCAGACCAGATTTGGAAGCTAGGATTAATCCAGACTGTCTTAAGTCGCCCTTAATTAGGGAATGTACTCCGGGATCTATAAGGGTTCAATAAGGGAATAAGGAATATGCCTCAAATACTTTAGGCATCCTATTATAATTTACGGCATATTCCTTAATTGAGGAATTTTGGAAGGTCTGGGTAAACGGCCACCGGAGCTTGGGATATTTCTAGGTCTCGTCCCTGTGCGAGGTTGCATGGAGGTGCCACCCAGAAACCCTGCATCCCTACAAGCCCAGAATTACTGATGCCCTAAAACCCTAAACCCGAAAAATCCTAAAGCCTCCTAAAGCTTAAACCCCAAAGAACCACTAAAAGCCTAAACCCCAAAGCCCTTGACCCTGAATCCTAAGACCCTTGCGTTTCCTGCTTCTCGATCGAGTATTTGCTTTTCCCAAACCTGAACCTGTCTCTTCGGGTCCAGGATTTCAGGTTAGGAGGTTCACGTTGTTTTGTAGTTCTGGGTTAGGGTTGACTCTAGGATTTCGTGCTTACAAGATAGAATGTCGGGTTTAGTGTACACACTCGGGGATCAGAATTTCAGGCGTAGGGGTTAGCTGCTGATTCCCAGGCGAGCTGCCGTCGAGCGCTGGAGTGAGTGGCCTGGCAGAAACACTAGCCTCCAATCACCAGTTTGTTCTACAGGCACGCCAACCCACGCTGCAGAAGCGGCTCGCATCTCCACAGACACGGGTTCGCATAGAGGTACGCATGTACATGCATACACAGATGTATATGCTCGTATGTACTGTAAAACTGCCGCAGACTTGCGTGCATGCATGCATGCATGCATGCATGCATGCATGTATGCAGACATGCGCAAAGACACACATACATGACCATGTGCAAATGCGTCATAACTTGACATACACAAGCACAGCTGTAGAAGGATAGTGGCGCAGTAAACAGAACAAATCTGCCCATGTAGTCGCACGAAAGACAAGAGCACATGTACTGTATACAAAGATGTTTAGGTGCATATAAATATAAACACAGATGCGCCTCGCTACATTGTCACATGTCGGAATGCACCTACATACATAGATATACGCAAACGCATGCCCTCGCGTGTAGCCGCTTGTTGTGCGTATTTTGCCACCCTGTATGCATGCGAGCCGGCACGTGTGCATTTAACCCTGTGTGTGCCTGGGCGGCTACGTATGTACTCAACGAAACTATGGGTACCCATATGCTCCATAGTTCCTTTTTGGGACTACCTTATTGGGTTCTAAATATTGACCACACAACAGGAACTACTATGGAGCCTCTGGGTAAGGATGCAAGACGGAAGACGAATCATCTCATTGAGGTTCGGAGCATTTCAGAAGGGTAACGGCAGACAGCATGCGGACGTCGGTCCGATGCAATCCCAAAGGGTCCTAGCGCTATGGGGGGATGCTTCCCCAAATCATAGTAGCAATTCCTAATATAGAAACCCTACATTCTACTATACAGGTACAGGTACTTTGGACCCTTTAGGAATGGCATGGACGTGTTGTTCGATCTCGCAAAGCCTGTTGCAACATACAGCGTCAAGAGGTCTGGTACATGCCGTTGTACACCACAGAACTTAAGGCTTCCAAGTTCACGCGATGTTCGTTTATAAGCACATACGTAGACATAAACGTCAGGAAAGCAGATGTCTCACGCGTGCGCACACACACACACGCACAGATATGCACATGCATGCAACATATAAATAAATAAATATATATATATATATATATATATATATAGATAGATAGATATATATGTATATGTATACACACAGGTATATCTGTATACTTATATATATATATATACATACATATATAAGGAAAGGACATCGATAGCCTGGTACGAAAGGTGGAGCGCTAGACAGGGAGAGAGGCTTGCCTGCAGACCAGTCAATAATTAGACAGAAAGGCAGGCGCGTACACAGATCGTGCCATGTATTGCAGAACACAAGCAAACACATGCACACCTACACACACACACACACACATACACACACACACACACACACACACACACCCACACCCACACCCACACCCACACGCACACGCGCACACGCGCACACGCGCGCGCACACACACACACACACACACACGTACGTATGCACTCCACGTTTCGAGCTTTGGTGCATTTGGGTGCGAGGTATGCCCACCCTCGTGCCAAAGAGTTCTTTTCCACGCCAGAGCAGCTTGAGGCAAGTCAATTCTGTTGGGGCTTCAGGTCCTTTCAGCATGCAATCAAGAGTCAGCTTGAAGCGCTAGCACTAGGACATCTGGGCCGAGCTGCAGCAATCCTGGGAACACAGAAGCGCATCTCATTGGTCCTCACAGAATTCATGCCTGGCACTGTTTCAGGAAGTTCTCATTCAGTTGGCAAAGGGCACTGTGCAGCACTCAGCTGTTCTGACGAGACGGAATCACTGTCAAGGCGATTTCTTTAGCCTGGGTACACAGGGACGCGAAAGCAGATGTCCTTTGCAGGACAAGAATGACGATCCTATCCTCGGCGGGGACGAGAAGTGTGTGTACTGGTATGGCGACGTCACGAAGGATGACCATCAGGCCAGTGGCGAGATTGCTTCGCACATGCCAGTCTCCAGGACAAAGGCAATCTGCGGCTTTCACCTTTCAGGCGGCAATCCGCATGGTCAAGCCAGGCGAGCAAAGTGAATCTGTTTCTGCCTGAGCTCGTCATCTTCTGTCATTCGTGAGCATCGGTCTATTTTCCTTGGAATGCACAAGCTCAGGTGACATATGTGAATCGTGTCCTTGCTTTCATCTTCGCTACCGACGATTCTTTCGTGCCTGGCCTGATTTCACAAATGGGAGTTTCCAAAAATAGAGCACCCTAGTATAGTATTCTAAACAGTAGGTTCCTGATGATAAGGATCCCAGAATACGGTACCTCAAATTGGCGGAAACTCCCAAATCATGAGAAAACCATCGGCAACGTCAAGCAGTCAAGCTCGTGACTTCAATGGCCCATGCCATCCGATGTGCATCCCCTTTGCAACGGCACAGGCCCCTTTCCTTGGATTCCACGGGAGTTAGGGAATGGATGATGGGCACCAGTTTTGTGGACTATACAGGGACCTTTTGCGATGCATTCCCCCATTCCTGACTAAGCACCAGGGAGACAAACAGCTAAACCCCAAACCCTAAACCCCTAAACCAAGAACCCATCCTGTCGTGGAAAAGAGTCAGTGCACTTAAACCAAAACCCTAAAACCCTGAACCCTGAAACGCTACACCGTGAATCCTTGCAACTGCATCGATGGGCGAGCTCAGGAGAAGCTCATGCAGCTTCCCAAGGAGCCCTTTAGGATGAGCTGCGGAGACCAGCTTTGCGTACCGCGGCCAGAGATGGGAGTTTCCGAACATTAGGGGTGTCTTATTCGGGGGTCCTTAAAATAAGGATTCTACTATTTGGGATACTATAGTAGGGTCCCCTAACCTCCCATATGCTGATTCTCTTCGTGCGTGCTTGTCGGCCCGGCCATAGGCTGTAAAATAGCTACTCCAAGTTAACCAGGCGATGCCCAAAACCCGAAACCCAGACCCCTCAACTACATCACACCCCAGGTGAACCTCGCTCATATCTCCTTGGCGGTGTCGTAAATCCTTGCGTCTTGGCAGCATCTTAGCTGCCCCGAAGACCTTCCGAAATTCCTTATTTGACGAACATACCTGAAATTATAATAGGATCCCTTATATGATTTGAGGCATATTCCTTGATCAAAGGGATTTTGCTAGGTCTGGGCCAAAGGCAGCTTGGTTTTGTCGAGTGGCCAACCTTTGACCCGCAAAGGCTCCCAGGTACTGTTCTGGGGGATACTTAGAGGATCAGGGGACTTAGTAAGTAGGGTTATAAGTCCCCTAATTGGGGTTATAAGTATTTATAAGTATAGTTATCTTATTTATAACCCTAGTTACTAAGTCCCATGATCCTTTAAGTACTGCCCCAGATGGGGGTTTCCGAAAGTTAGGGCTACCTGCTTTTGGGGGTCCTTATAATAAGGATCCTACCATTTAGAGTACTATATTACTTGGAGGGGCAGGGGACTTAGTAAGTCGGGTATAAGTAGAGTTATAAGTAGCCTTAATGGAGTTACCCCAATTATAACCCTACTTATAACCTACTTACTAAGTCCCCTGCCCCTCCAAGTAGGGTCCCTATTTTCGGAAACTCCTCAAGTATAATACTAATTCCTACCATCATACAGGTACTTTGGACTCGTTTGGATCTGGAGTTTACAGTAGAAGCCAGAAAGTTGGAATATGATTATCCTAAACTGCTTATGGTAAATTACAGGGGATCCTACCCTGAAACCATATTCCAACTTTCTGGAGTTCCCATTAAACCCTAAACCCAAAACGAATACCTATAGATCCCCTGAAGGAGCCCTTTAAGAACCCTTCCTAAGTCCCATGATCCTCTAAGTAAGGGGTTCCCTTTAGCCCTGGAACCAGCCCAGAGACTCCAATATCCCTTAATTAGGGAATATACCTTAAATCATATTAAGGATCCTACTATAATTTAAGGAATATTCCTTTATATTATAGATCCCTAAACCCTAAACCCTTTAAGGAGCCCTTTAAGGAACCCTAAGTCCCATGATCCTCTAAGTAGCCCTGGAACCAGGTGCGGCTGTTGGGCCGCGGCTGAGGGGCTTCGTAGGGCCCACGGGGAGGCGAGGTTGGTTTTACGCCAGGCTGTTCAGTGGTACACTTAGGGTTTAGGGGTTTAGGGGTTTAGGGGTTTAGGGGTTTAGGGGTTTAGGGTTTAGGGTTTAGGGTTTAGGGTTTAGGGGTTTAGGGTTTAGGGGTTTAGGGTTTAGGGTTTAAGGTTTTTTACTTTCAGCTTTCTGGGTTCCTATGAAATAAGAAGCCTAAAATAGAGGTATATACTTTGTCCCAGTGGGTTACTGAACAGCCTAATACGGCTTAGCATGCCTTAAAAGAGTTTCGTTTAGGCTTCCGTTTAGGAGGGTCAGGGCTGGATCATCGGGCTTGCGATTTCGGTCTCCCCGGTACCCCTAAACCTTAAAGCCACTCTTAAATCCCCAAGACCCTGGAGCTTTAAGCGCCCAACCCCTAACACCCCAATAGCCTGGCTTCTTGTTAAGGGATTTAACTTAAGTTACAAGAATAAGGAAACCATAGCTTTTACTTTAGATCCCTATTGTGGTAACTTAAATTAAATCCCTTAACAAGAACCCAACAGCCTAATGTGTGGCCTGAGGGTTATCCGTACTTCGCCTGGGGGCGCATAAACCCTAAACCCCGAGCTCTCACAGGCAAAAACCAGCCTCGCCTCTTTTCGCTGCTTCGGGCCGGCAGTGCGTCGTGCTATCGCTTTGGATCCTGCTGAAGTTACTACCGTTGTTGCTACTATAAACCATTACAATGACTCTTGGTATTGTTGTCATTGCTGTTGCTAATCGTAAGACTAGTGGTGCGATTGTCAGCATTATGTCTAGTCCTACTATTGTTGCTGTTATTGCTATTCTTGCCATTGCGACCATTGCTAGTAGTACTCTACCATGGCTATGATAACTTGGCGGAAACTACATGGCACTACGACCCCGCGATTCCAGGCTACGGACGGCAGCACTCCCATGCACAGTCGTCGACTCGCACTAGCGAAGAAAGGAGTGCGAGTCGAGCCGAGCCGAAGACTCGAAGTAGCGCTGAGGGCGAGTGTGCTCACTTTGTGTCGTCTGCTTGGTGTACTTGTTTTGCTATTGCCTTCGACATGAACCTACACGAAGGCATGTTTAGGTTGAGCAAGGTTCGAAATTCACGCCATGTGCCTGTGCCCCGTGTGGATTTGTCCAGGGGCCGTGCTTCCGAACAGGATGACTCTGAAATCACTTGCACAGCACATCGCGGCAATCGTTCAGTTCTGGTTATCACGAGCTTCGGCGTGCTTGGCGCACACGCTGGTGAGTTGTGTTAGGTACGGCCCCCACTCAGTAATAGTTGAATAATATTCATAATCTATACATATTAGGACCTTAATAGTAGCCCTATTATAGACTCTTACTGTATGGGGGCCGTACCTAGGAGTTCTGTTTGCTTCGGAAGCGCCTTGCTCAACAAAGCCGCCTTGCACTGCGCTGCAAGCGGACGGTCCTCGAAAGAACCAGCCAATCAATGCTGATCTCGGTTGATGCTACAAATCCTGGGGTTCCTTTAAAGGGATCTATAAGGGGTACCTTTAAGGGCCTCCTGTAAGGGATCTATAGGGGCTTTAGCGTTTAGGGTTGATGATAGAAATCCTGCATTACCTCAAGGACCCTAAACTGGGGGAATTATGGTATATTCCCTATTATGGTAATGCAGGATTCATATCATCAATCGTCTTGCCGGTGGTTCCTTACCCACTAGGCAACTTCAAAGGTTCGCTAAGCAGGTTAAGTTAAGAAGCAGCATTGATTCAAGCATCTCCATGCTATCGAGCGTGGGTTGAGAGCAGCTCGCAAAGAAGCACAGATCCCGGAGCAGCACTTGTTTCTTGCTCCGAGTTTTGCAGACGATTGCAGACCTACAGCTCATGAACTTGCTTCAGGTGCTTGATCAGTTTTCTCAGCCGCAGCAAAGAACTTCCGGTGAGCAAGGCTTCCTGATGAGAGTGTGATCCGTTCGGCAGTTGCACTGGCTGTCTTTCGCTTGTCTGTTGAGAGTGCTGTCTACCCTCCTGCTTGAACGCCATGTTCCAGTGTCGGATGTGTTCGGAAAACCCCTTCAGCAGCTTGGTGGCAAGCTGTTCGGAAGCGGCGGTTAATAGCCCGACATGTAGGACATGAGCACGAAACCCTATCCTAAACCCTATTCCAAGTACTCAGGCCCCCCAAAAAGGAGTTTCCGAAAAAGGCCCCCTATATGGGAGTTTCCGAAAACAGGGGAGCCTAATAGTCGGATCCTTATTACAAGGACCCCAAAATACCGTGCCCCTCCCTAAGTTTCGGAAACCCCGCCGACATATGAAAAGAAAGAGATCCCTTATTAGAAGCTGCCCCCACCCTGTAATAGTGGTAGAGTAGGAATATAATAGGGCCCTAAGATAATCCTATATAATCCTTATAGTCACTATTACAGGGTGGGGGCTAAACCCTAAACCCTAAACCCTCTAAGAGATCCCCCCGAGGTTCCATGATGGGGGCTCCTCCTGGCAAGAGTGAGGTGGACGGCCCTGGATCCAGCTATCCCAGAGAGCCCAATACCCTTTAATTAAGGAATATAGCTTAAATCATAATATGAATCCCCTTATAATTTAAGGTATATTCCTTAATTAAAGGGTATTGGGCTCTCTAAATTCCAGAAAGTTGGAATATGGTTTCAGGGTAGGATACCTTATAATTGACCATAAAGGGCTTAGGATAATCATATTCCAACTTTCTGGCTTTTACTATATGATCCAGTTTCGGGATGCTTCCCAAAGAGCCCGAGACACCTCCCGAATATTTAGGGTTTAGGGTTTAGGGTGGTAATATGGTTTGATGCATATTCCTCAGTTAAGGAATACATCTTAGATTATTGCAGGCGGGGGGCTTGATAACATGATGTGAGGTATATCTCGGTATTGGGCTCTCCGTCTTCTTCCCTCTTCTGCAGGAGAAGAAAAAGAAGAAGGGAACCGGCGAAGGCATGGCCAGCAGCTTTGAAGGGTCAGCTGCCACAACCCGTCCATGTACCCAAGTAGTAGATACTTGGTCCCCAAAGTACCCAAGTAGGGGAGAGTTATATAAGGCAAGAGTGTATAATTATGCTATTTGGGTGTATGGAACCTTTTAGGGACAGTCTTCAAATCCTTGTGAAGGAACCTGACTTTCTGTCTTGCAGACATGGATTTCGGCAAAAGAAACCCACTTTTACGTAATGATGATTGCCTGGTCGATGTCATCCCTGGGCTAACTAATAAACCTTAGCCCGAAAGACATTGATCCTCAAACTCCTGCACCCTGCTTGGAAGCCTTGAAACCCTAAGATCCCGGTGCCCCTAGCCTAGCAACCCCTATCGAATTGTAGAAAAATGCTATACAATCCCTGTAGAATGTTAGCAACCCGAAGACTTAAACCTTAAAGCACTGCGTAGTAGGGTTCCCAGGGATAGAAAGTCGGGCCCTAAACCCTAAACCCTAAAGCTACCATAGAAAGTAGTGTCCTATATCCTGCAGCTCGCAGGGAAGCCTGGTAGAACCCCTATAGATCCCTGCAAGGAGCCCATGAAAGGCTCCTGAACCCTAAACCCTATACAAGTCCCTTGAACGATCCCATATAGGATCCTATAAAATGGCCGGGATCGCAGGGAAGAGGAATCCACACAACAACCCTTATAGAACCTATATGCTGCAACTTATAGAACCCCAAAACCCTAAAGCACTACGTAATCCGGATCACGGGGAAGCAGTAGCCGTAAACTCTCGACTCTCGAAGATACCCTTTAACGGAACCATAAGGGACCCTTAACATGCTTCCTAAGCCCTTTGAAATCCCATGTAGTGATTTCTTAATATAGATCCCGTAAAGGATCCCATAAAAAGCCTAAACCTTAAGCCAAGAAGCCTTTTAGAACCCTAAACCCCCAAGAGCCCCACAGAATGGAGAACTCTAAACTCTAATTAAACCCTAAACTCTTAACTCTAAACCCGAAATCCTAAACCCTGAACTCTAATCCCTAAATCCTAAACCCTAATTGGGACCGCAGGGACGAAGAGGAAGTCGGTGTCCAAACGGGACATGAGCGCCTTCAACGCACGGACCGAAGCCGAAGTGCCCCTTGGCTATGCCCACTTAAAGGAACTATTGGGGATCCTTTTATTGTAGGGTTTAGAGGTTCCTGTTGGGGTGTCTAAAAGGAGCTATTAGGGTTCCTTTTAGGGTTTAGGGGTTCCTTCTGGTTTAGGGGTTCCTTTTGAGGTGTCTGAAAGGAACTGATAGGATTCCTTTATAGGCTTTAGGGTTCTATATTACGGTTTTGGGGTTCCGTTAAAGGTTCAGGGTTGATTTTAAGGTTTAGGGTTTAGGGTTCCATATTAGGGTTTAGGGTTCCTTTAGGGGTTTAGGGTTCCGTTAAATTCTTTTAAGGGTTCGTTCACGGAGTCTGTAAGGTGTTTCTTTCGAGGAGTCTAGTTGGGTTCAGGGCTAGAGTTTTGAGCTTAAGTAGAGTCCGAAATTCCTTTTATTTAAGTTCCTAGAAACAGTCTATGAGGGTTCAAGGATTCGGGTGTAGAGTTTGGACTTTAATCGTCAAGGGTTCCTTCAAGGGCTCCTTTAATGGATCTATACGGGTTTAGGGTTCAGGGTTTAGAGTTTTGAGGGTGTGTTTCGGGCTCTACGGGTGGAGCCTTTAGGCTTCAATTTTATGATCAGGGTTCAGGGTTTAGGATGTCCCGAGAGTTATAGGGGTTGATTGAGGGTATCCTTGAAGGGACTTATAAAGAGCGTTAGGGTTTGCGGGCATTTCCGGATCCTGCTAGGCTTCCCTTAAGGGATCCAAACCGGTGCCGATACGGATTCTACAATCGAACAGGGCGTGAGCGCATTTGAGCGGGTTGGTGACGGACTCGCCGGCTGCTCCAGAAAAAAAAGGCTCCATAGAGTTTAAGGAGTTCCTTTAAGTGTTAATGTGTTCCAAAGTATGTTATATCCCTAAACCCTAAACCCTAAACCCTAAACCCTAAACCCTAAAGGTGTGTCGGGGTTTTCTGAAGGGCTCCGTTGAGGGTTCAGGATTTATAGGGGCTTAGAGTCCAGCGTGAATGGAAGGTTTCTGAGTTTATTGGTTCATTTGAGGGTTCTTAAAGGGCTCCTTAAAGGGATCTATAGGGTTCCTTTAAGGGATCTATAGGGTTTAGGGTTTAGGGTCTACTTGGAGGCCCAGGGGACTTGGTAAGTCGGTTATAAGTAGGGTTATCATTGGGTAGCCCCGTTGAGGGTACTTGTAACTCTACTTAGAATTAGAACCTGCTTGCCAAGTCCCCTTTAGGGGATCCTTTTGTGGGTCCCTTTGCGGATCTATACGGGTACTATGAATATTTGGATTCCATAAACGTTCTGGGGGGGATCTTTAAGGGTTCGATAGGGGCTTATATGGGATCCATGCAGTTCTAGAGGAGATCTGCAACGGCTTTGGGTGTAGGTTTTCAGGGTCGAGGCTCTCGGATGTCAAATTCAGGGCAGGATTTAGGGTCAACAGTTCGGGGGTTCCGGACGAAGGGTTGGGTTTCGGTTGACGGTCAGTGAATGTGGGCTCAGAAACTGTAAACCCGAAAGGTTAAAGTATTCACCAGAAAAGCCAGAAGTTCAAACTTAAGGCATAGGGTAGGGTTTGGGGCTTTTGGATTCAAGCCCAAATCCCGACATGAAATTACCGCGGATTCCCAGGCGAGAGGCCGTCGAGCGCTGGAAAGAGCTCCCTGGCACAAGCAGTGTTGTCATTTTCGGGTATTATATCCCCCTTGCTATCCCAAATGTCATGTTTTAGGTCCCCTAGAGTACTCCCAACGGTTAACCTGTAGTTCCCCTAAAATACTCGACAAGTAAGATAGCTCGTTCAGGCTCCTACATTACCCTAGTTTCGGCGCTTGGGGATCCGTGTCTGCAAAGTTCCATCCGGGTTCTATAAGGATGCTGTTGATGATGTAAACCCTGCATTACCCATAATAAGGAAAATACCAGAAGAACTCCCATGGTTCAGGGGCCTTAACGTAATGCAGGATTTGTATCATCAACGTAGGGCTTGTATTAGGGTAGTTGGATTCATGTTTACTGTAATTTCGGAAGCTACGGGATGAGCTGTTGTAGCATGCCAACCCACACGATGTGTCATGAACATACCTAGAACCTAAAAAGGCCCACGCGGCCACGCACAAACACACACACACACACACACATACATATGTATATCATATCTGTACCATCTGTAATTATATATTACGTATTTATATACATATATGTGTGTATGTGTATGTATATGTATATGTACATGTGTATATAAATATGAATACATATAAGTATATGTATGTATATGTCTGTGTATATGTCTGTGCATGTGTATATACATATACACTGATATGCATATGCACGTACATGTGTACAAACATAATGACATGCATGTATATGTACAGACAAATTCGCACTTGCATGTACATCTGTGAATGCAGGCAGACACGGAAAACTGGTGCACGAGTACTTGCTTACATAACCACATACAGAATCAGCTAGCTGCCTACTTAAACATCTCTGGAGCTAAATACGTACATGCATACATGAGTATATACATACAGACCTACAGCCCTACAGACGGACATACAGACATATGTACGGCCCGCGGCCCTAAACCCCCTAGAAGCAATGCGTCGAAATAAGGTATGCCCACCCTCGTGCCAAAGAGTTCTTCTCCACACCCGAGCAGCTCGAGGTACGTCCATTCTGCTGGGGTTTTAGGTCGTGTTCCCGGAGCTCTGAAGTAATGTACGGCAGGCACCCTGATAGCTAGACTACGGCTTCGGGTATGGCATACGAAAAGTATAATAAGGAGCCCCAAGGAAGAGCATGAGCCAGCTTGAAGCACGAACAATGGACTGGGACGTCGGCCTCCCTCACGGCATTCACGGCTCGCACTGTTTCAGGAAGTTCTCATTCAGCTGGCGAAGGGCACTGTGCGGCACTCAGGCATAACTATCTGAAGTACGGGATGTCTGTGCAAGCAGTTTCACTCTGGGAGCACACGGGGTATTGAGCACAAACACACACACACACACACACTCTATGTATATATATATATATGTACATATATTGCAGGACAAGAATGATGATCCCATCCTGGGACCAGACGAGAAGTGTGTGTACTGGTATGGCGATGTCACGAAGGATGACCTTCAGGCTTGGCATGCCGAATAGCTCGGTTCGTCTATGTAGGGTTTAGGGTTCTAGGGTTTAGGGGCTCTTACGAGTGCACGGTGTAGGTATCTATACAGTGTGTAGGGTTTAGGGTCAATGCCAGTCTCCAGAACGAACTGCAGTTTGCTGCTTTCACCTGGCAGGTTTTAGGGTTTAGAGTTCTCTTTAGAGTGCATAGGTGTCTATATAGTGCACAGCCCTAAACCCTAAAACCCTAAACTCCACACCGGGGCAAGTGCGGTTTGCCGCTTTCACCTTGCAGGCGGCAATCCGCATGATCAAGCCAGGCGAGCAAAATGAGTCTGTTTCGGCCTGAGCTCAACTCCAAAGTTAGGAGAATATGGGTTCCTTCAAAAGGATCTATATAAGGGTTATTTTAAGGGATCTATAATTATTAGGGTTATATAATATAGGGGGCTTAATTTAGTAATTAGAATAGGGGCTCCTTTTTTAGGGCTTAGGGCTAGGCTGCTGTCATCCCGGAAGATTCGTCCGCACGGCCGTTTCGCTTCATTGAAGCTCAGGTGACATACGTGAATCGTGTCCTCGCGTTCATCTTCGCCACGGACGATTCGTTCGTGTCTTTTCAGAAAAGGCAATAAGTATTGGCAACACACATTGGCGCGATGATGTCTACTGTGCCCTGATGCTTCCTTTGCATGCACTGGGGCTCCAAATAGCCCAAAGTAGGTCCCATTTATAGACTTTAGAGCCCAAAGTAGGTACTATGTGTTGTATACTTGGAGCCCCAGGGATGTTTGCTAATCTAAGAAACCGAACTGTTTAATTCGCCAGTTACATGATCGGCTCCTGACATGGTTTGCAACACCATCCCTCTGAAAAACTCCCTCTGAATGTAGGAGCCTTCATAATTAGAATAGGATTTTGGCTTTGGGGTTCCTTATTATAAATAGCGTACAATACACCCCCAAACCCTATCCTAATTGTTACGGGCCCCTGTATCCCCTTTGCAACAGGACCGGGCCTGCATCCCTGCCACTGCATCGTTGCTCAAGCTGAGGAGAAGCTCATGCAGCTTCCCAAAGAGCCCTTTAAGATGAGCTGCGGAGACCAGCTTTGTGTACCCTGGCCATCTATAACCCTACATCCTACACCCGTAAACCTCTAAACCCCTAAGCCCTAAGCCTCTAAATCCTAAACCCTGGTCAGATATCGCTGCGCTGCGTGGCTGCATGTGTGCGCGTCTGCTCTGCAACCGCCACTGGTAAACCAAGCAGTGTTCCCTGCATTACGCCTAATAAGGATTATACCACAATTCCCATACATAGTTTCGGGTCCCTAAGATAATGCAGGATGTATATTATCAACCGTATGAGCATGATCATTACGATTAGGATCACTCTTTGCATTATCATTACTACTACAAGTCTTCATAGTGTTGTGATTGCTTTCGGTATTGTTGTTGTTTTCACTGTTACTGTCTTTATTTAGTCGTGAGCCAATCATCCGAGGTGCACCTCGCACACATCTCGCTGGCGGTGTCGTAAATCCGCGTGTCTTGGCAGTTTGCAGGAGAGAGAAGCGACCCAGTCTGTGCTTAAAGAGAGCTGCTTGGAGGATCCGGGACTTAGTAAGTAAGGTTATATGTACCCCAATTGGGTTATAAGCATTCATATGTATAGTTACCTTATTTGTAACCCTAGGTACTACGTCCCACGATCCTTGAAGTGGACCAGGACCCCATGCGCCCTGACACTGAGATCCTGAGTTCTGCGGAATACTTAAATCCTAAGCCTTACTCTGGGAACCCATGCCCCATAGATAAGGAAGATCCTGAGCATACCTTAAGCTACATGGCCTTGCTATCATGATTACGGGTATTACCCCTTATAGTTGTGGGGTACCCTAAACCCTAAACCCTAAACCCTAAACCTGCGCAAGTCTAGCCAAAGTCTGTGGAGGCTGCTCGCAAGCTCCACCACGCTTGGGGGTGGCGGTGGGGCGGCGGCTGAGGGAAAGCGTAGAACCCAAGAACCGGCAGGGCTGGGTTTGGATCGGGGAACTCAGGGTTTGGGGTTTCGGATTTCCCTAGAACCCCTAATCCCCGCTGAACCCCAAGATCATTTAAAGTAGGGTTTGGGGCTTGGGCTGGCTTAGGTTGTTAGGGTTTCTGATTTGGGACTCGGTTGGCGTCTTTAGGTCTTGGCTTAGTAGAGGTTTTCTGGTGGTGCAGCGATTTTCCAAGGAGCCATAACCCTAAGGCTGTAATGCACCTACCTCAAAGGGGCTCCTATATGCGTACTGGAAGGCCACAGTATGCATATATCATATAGTTACATGGAGCCTTATACCAGACAGAACCCTTCACGAAGCGTTTCAAAGCGAACCAGGCAGATGCAGCCAGGGTTCCACGGGCATTGCGCAGTTTATGGTTTCGGGTTTAGGGCTTTAGGGTTTAGGGGTTTGGGTTTAGGGCAGCCACTGCCCCTGTTTGTTTTTGCCTGGTCTCGTGACAGGCCCAGAGATCATGTTTTAAGCAAGTGGCTGCAAGCTAGGTGGGATGGTTTGTGATTGAGGTGAAGAGTTGTCCTTATACTCAATGCTAAAATACCCGATTTCCAGTAGAACCCTAAACCCTAAAGCCCTTATTCCATTTAGACGTTGGGGCGCAGTGCGCACGACTCAGCCTCGTCGGTTTTCGCCGAAGGATTGCTACACACTTGTGCTGGGATCAGTCTGCGAGTGTCTTCTGCCATTGAGCCTGCATATTTGTTGAATTTAGGGAGGGGTCTGCTAGGCTTATATATAGTCATACTTACTTTTGTATATAGCGCGAAACCTTACTCTAATGATTAAGGCCCCCATACTGTTCGAATTTCTTCGTTCACCTGGTGCACTGTTTCGCTATTGCCTTCGCGTGGCTAGACATGAACACGTGGAGGCAAGCTTAGGTTGAGCAAGATTCGAAATTCACGCCATGTGCCTGTGCCCCGTGTGGATTTGTCCAGGGGGCCGTGCTTCCGAAAAGGTTACCTGAGAAAGCACTTGCACACACGAACTCTCGTCAGTCGTTTTGTTGTGTTCCTGCAAGCTCTGGGTGCACCTGCCCTTAGACGCCGGTGAGCCTTGTTTGTTTCGGAAGCACCTTGCTCAACGAAGATGACCTGCAGCTGCAGCACAGCGGGCGGTCCTCGCCAGAACAAGTGATTCAGTGCTGATCCCGCCCGTGAGCTTTGCTGCTCGTCACCGGAAACAACCCCTGAGAAGGCTGACAAGGCAAAAAGCTCTTTCATCGGGTTGGCCCAAACCCTAAATCCTAAACCCTAAACCCCTAAACCCTAAACCCCTAAACCCTAAACCCTTTCATCGGGTTGGCCCATGCTTCTTGCTCCCAATGTCTGGACTGTTCAGACACGGCCTGAACCCTGAAACCCTAAACCCCTAAACCCAAAGTGACGCAAGAACCTAAGCGTAGTCGGATCGTGGAGAAGGAGCCCAAAGGGTCCAAACTACCTGTATAGTAGAATGTAGGGTTTCTATATTAGAAATTACTATTACGATTGGGGGAAGTATCCCCCATAACAGTACCTAGGACCCTTTGCAGCCGCAACAGCAGCGTAGAGTGCAGCAGTCGTTGGGTAGAAGAAGCATCATGAGTCTGCAGGAATACTGTAGGAACCTGATTAAGAAACCCTGGGCCTATAATCCCAAAAGAGTTGGATTCATATCATATGAGAATCAAGTTCCTACATTACCCATGGCCTCATAATAATTAGGATATGGTTGTTTTAGAGTGGTACTTTGTACTATGAATACCTATGAATAAAACATTAAGGAACGAGCCTCGGGAATGGTATTGGTTATCATGGAGGCTTCCCCAAAGGGTCAAAAGTACCTGTGTAGTAGAATGTAGGGTTTGTATTAGGAATTACTATTATGATTTGGGGAAGTATCCCCCGCAACAGTACCTAGGACCCTTTGGGAACTTCTACCCGGTAAACCCCACACCCTGACCCCTAATCCCAAACTAGACAACTCTAGACCTGAATAGGGCCCCCAAAAAGCACATCAGCCAAAATTAGGATAGGGATATCCCATATAAACCCCTTATAATGAAGCCCAGTAAGGTATACAGGGATATCCCTGTAAAATGTTTATGCTTATGTCCTTGTTGGGGGGCCCTACTTAAGCTTCTATCCAAGGGTAAACGGAGGGACCCTTAATCAGGACCCCTAGAGATATACCCTTAATATAGCTCTTATATATATATATATATATACACCCTTTCTATAGCCCATTATAGGCTGTTAAGGGTCCGTCCGTTTCCCCTTTGATTCTAAACCCTGAAGCAGGTGGCCGCCGCCGTCCGCAGCTTGGCCACTGCCCTTCGCTCGGGCCCCCGCGATCGAACTGCAGAGAGGCTTGCTATAGGGGACCTAGATAATCACCAAGACTATCTTGGGGCTTCCTTTTTATACCTATAGTATAAAGGAGCCCAAAGCCCTGAAGAATGCTAGAGGCATCCGCTTTTTCTGCAAGTCGAATGGTGGCTGTAGTGTTTAGGGGCTTAAGGGGTTCAGTGTTAATCTAGGGTTTGGGAAGTCTGCCAACTGCCACCCAGAGTCGAGAAATTAGGGGACCTCCTGGATCCTGGACGCTTACATAAATGCATCGTCATATACCCCAAAAGCATATTCCAATCAGAAAGCTGTTAAAAGCAACAACGCATGCAACAATAGAATGTACCCCAACGGCTTGTTCTAATCATTAAGGCCCAAAACTTCACCCTTAGAGTAGCCCTTGTAGCCTTAGAGTAGCGCTTAGAGGCCCTTTTTTAAGAGCCCTTTGAAGGGCCCCTATTCTATTCATGAAGACCCCTATACTTGGAGGATCAGGGGACTTTGTAAGTAAGGAAGTACCCTAATTGGGGTTATAAGTACTTATATGTATAGTTAGCTTGTTTATAATCCTAGCTACTAATTCCCATGATCCTTTAAATATTAAAGCCTTTCAACAAGCCGCGAGTCGCAAGGCGCTGAAAATCCCGCCTTCGAAGCTTGGCTAGTCCCGACATTCTCATAGCAGTGATACGGTTGACGATATAAGTCCTGCATTACCTTAAAGGCCCTGAACTATGGGAATTATGGTATATTCCTTGTTATGGGTCATGCAGGATTTGTACCATCAACCGTAGTCCCGACATTCGCATAGCAGTGCTGCTAGAGGATCTTGGGACTTCGTACCCCTATAGTGCCATGAATAAGGTACGTATACCTATTTTCTTAGAACGTATACCCCTCGATTGATGTACTTGTGGCCGGTACTACTCCGTCCCCTGATCCTCCAAGTGCCGGTTGAGAGTCCTTCCATGCCGGTGTTAGGCGGAGCCCTTGGTTTTGAGTTTTACGTCTTGTCATGTGGGAGCTTCCGAAAATTAGGGGTACCGTATTTGAGGGTCCTTGTAATAAGGACCCTACTATGTAGGGTACTCAATTAGGGTCCCCTTTTGTCGGAAACCCCCCATGTGCAAGCAGACGACATGCAGAAACACTCTTGGGCACAGGGTGGTAAAGTCACCCAGTAGTGAACTGATTCATCGCTTGGGTGACAGAGCGTCAGTCTGGAAATCGTGGGGTTCTCTGCCGTGCCCCGGATGTGCAGGCAGAAGGAGTTTGAGTAGTAACATTTCTGTTGCTACTGCTGAAGACGATCAATGAGACTTCCACTATTCCGATTAGTCTTATCATTATCATAGCCATTACAATTTACTCCTATGTTTTCTACGGTTGCTATTACCATTACAATTACTGTCCATTCGCAGGCGGAAGGAGTTCGAGCTACTTCGGCACCTCGCAGCCAACGCATTTCCGTGGGCCGCAGAGGATGTGTGCCCTCGGCAATCGATTTAGGGCGTATTTGGTGCAGGGGTTCCGGGGTTAAAGAAGGACTTCATATCTGCGGTGGGGCATCGACTAAGATGGTAAAAGAAGGACTTCACTTCAGCCGTTTGGTTTAGTATAGGGGCCTGACGAATTTGCCAATCCTTGTCCTGAGAGTTTCGTGCTCTAGGTATGGTATACTGAAGCCCAAGCCCCAATTCAGATCGTCTTTGCCGCTTATATTCGAGCTTTAGGCTGCTAGGCGTTTCGACCTAGGGTTTGAGGTAGCTCTCGCAGCAATCAAGCTAAACTAAGCAGGCATTAGGGACATCGTACCTTTTCCCTCATTGAGCTAAGAGGATCTTATTTACGAATAGTTGTCGGAGGCCTTAACCATCTAGGAGTAGAGTAGGTAACCTTTAGGGGTACTATAATGAATCCCGTCTTGTAATCCCAATATACTCCCAAAGGTTAACCTTCGGTTCCCCAGGATACTGGACAAGTAGGACCCTAAACCCTAAAGTCCAAATCACTGAGCCCTGAACCCTAAACCTTAGGAAGCTAGTGCATCATAGAGATCTGGCCTCCGATCGGTGCCGACATGTCCAGCCTAAGCAAAGCGAGTCTTTGTTGCGAAAACTGCGCCTAAACCCTAAACACCCAAACCCCCTAAACCCCCCAAACCCTAAACTCCACCCCCCAAACCCCCAAGCCCTAAACCCCTGAACCCTACGTCTGCATGTGATCTAGCAACTGCAGTCTTCCAACCCTTTCCAGATCTTCCGCTATAGCGGTATTCCGACTGTCGCGGGGAGGAGAAGAACCGAAAAACAAACACAGCCTGCAGATTTAGGATTCGTGAGATCGAGACCTTTGCCAGCCGCAAGACCTTCATGAAAGTCGCAGGCACCCGGAAAAACATAGGGTTTATGGTATAGGGTTTAGGGTCCTAAATTGGTACCCCAAGCCCTAAGCCCGAACATGCCTCACTAAAACCCTAAACTTCCTACACCCTAAATCACAAACTGGTACCCTGAGCCGAAAACCCGGAAATATTTTTATGTAGCTGTAAGTTGCTGGTGCCTAGTCGGCACGTGGGGTAACAAGGTGCCCTCAAGAAGAGCAGAAAATACCTTAATCCCAACTAATGTAGGGGCCTTACTTATTGGAATAGGGTTTAGGGGTAAAGTATACTATAACCACAGTAAGGAACCCCCCCAAAAGCGTATTCTAATTATTAAGGCCCCTACATTAAACCCTTATACAGTAGTAGCCCTTATCGCAACCCTTATAGACCCCTTTAAAAGGAACCCGTAAAAAGAGCCCTATTCTAACTACTAAGGCCCCTACAGTACGTGAAGTCTGGGAGCCCCGGCGCTCTCCTTGCGACGGTAGGGGAGGGAGGATTGCATGACAGTGTGCAACCGCAAGGTTGTAAATCCTGCGTTGCCCATAATACGGAACATGCCATAGTTCCCATAGTCTAGGGTCATTCAGGTAGTGCAGGATCTAGGTCATCAACTGTGCACCGCAAGGTTCACTGTACCTAGAGTCTCCATTGTAGTTCCTCTTTTAGGTTACCCAGTTTTATGGTTATATAGGTAGTATTCAGAAAATACCTAAAGCTTTATGCATGTTCAGATTATATAGGTTCCCGTTGAGGATCACTTCAGGTTTCCTTGCTGGTGAGGTGATACCGAGGCCTTTATGGTTGGACTAGGGTTTTGGGGTTTCTCATGGTATACTGATGATGGACATCAGGAAGCCTACGGAACGTTATAGGTTACTCTTCAGGCTTCTAGATATTTCATCTTGTGAGCAACGTGTGTGCTAGATGAAGGTGCCGCCATTCGCTGACCTAGCAGGCTGCATCAATGCCCCGCAACTCATGCAAAACTTTGCCAGGCTTTCTTAAGATCCTAAACTCCAGTCGGGACTACAGGAGCTGCAAGAGTTGCAAGAGCAGAATATCCCGAACTTTTCCGATCCCCAACCCTAAACCCTAAACCGCTTCGACAGGTGGTGTGAAGCGCCAGCTGCTGGAAATGGCAGCTCGTGAAGCACCGAAGGGCTTGGTGGTGGTTCCTTGGCAGCAAGCCAGAGGGGCAGCCCTTCTTGAAGGATCAGGAGACTTAGTAAGTAAGGTTATAAGTACCCTACTTGGGGCTATATCTATTTATAACCCTAGTTACTAAGTCCCATGATCCTTTAAGGAGAAGCTGTAAAGTTTAGTTTGTAACGGGTACGGGGTTGAGTGCTTACGGTTTGGTTGTAAACTGTATATCCGTATAACCATATACACCTACATCATATCACCCTAAGCCCGTAAACCCGAACCCTAAACCCAAAATCAAAGAACACCTAAACCCTGCAACCTTGTAGCCCTAAACCCCGTAGCCGTATATAACCCTAAGCCCTATAACCCCAGACGCTATAGTCTTGTCGCCCTAAATCCTACATGCAGGAGCTGGGAAGCTATGTTGGATACTCGGCAGCTATCCTGGCCATTGCCTCGGGCCAGGGTGTTAACTGTTGTTTTGTTCAGGGCTCTTTAGCGGGTTCGATGAGGCGTACTATCACGCTTTGACCAGGAAAGAATCGTCAGTCTTATGTTTTCAGGTAGGAGTGGCGGGACACATGATGTCCCCACTTATCTTGCGGACACCCTCGTTGTAAAAACCACTCTAAGCCCTGAGCCTTCAGCCCTGAAACCCTAAACCCCTGAAGCCTAAACCCTCAGAGCCCTAAGACCCTCAGAATCCTAGAAGCCTAAACCCTCAGAACCCTAAAACCCTCAGAATCCCTAAAACCCTCAGAATCCTAGACCCTAAACCCCTGAGGCCTGAACCCTGAGACCGAAGCCTTTATGGAACCTCTTGACCCAGAGCGTCCATGTACCCTCCTATTATGGAGCCCCATTATGGCTTTGGGGGATGGTCTTTCAGGGCCTAATTCCATGATAGCGTAGTGTATATGGGTAAAACCCTTAAAACCCTAAGCCCTAAAGAGCCTTAAAACCTAAAACCCTAAAGCCCTACAACCCTAAACCCTAAAACCCTAAACCCTAAAGAGCCTGAAAACCTAAAACCCTAAAACCCTGAAGCCCTAAAACCCTAAACCGTAAAACCCTAAACACTCAAGACCTTCTGGGTGAAATAAAAGCCCCAGGCCATGGCACGGGGGGCAGTTCCTCTGCCACCGTCTCCGGATCAAGCAAAAGGGCCGGGTCCACAGCATGGGAGTTTCCGAAAAGGGATCTATAAGGGTTCCTTTAAGGGTTCTTTAAAGGGATCTATAAGGGTTCCTTTAAGGGTTCTTTAAAGGGATCTGTAGGGTTTAGGGTTTAGGGTTTGGGAATTTCCGAAAACTAGGGATACCTTACATTGGGGTCCTTGCAATAGGGTCCCCTATTTTCGGAAAATCCCGCATGGACGTGGGCGTGTCACAGAGTTAGTAACTTTGGGTGTAGGCTTCAGGGTTGAGGGTATAGGGTCTACTCTAGGGTGCAGGGTCTTTGGGGTGTAGACACTTATGAAGGAGAATGGTTTGTGTTTAAGCGTTCTTCAACGGTGTCAAATGGGGCTTTCAAAGCTTACTCAAGCGGGCTTCGTAAAGGGGCCTGAACAATTAGAATAGAGTTTCTGTGGGGTGTCGATCTTGTTGGAACTACTGGAAAGAATGAGGGGATACTATTACCTGTCATTTTGACCCGTGTGTTGTCGGTCCCTGGGCCTCAGGGGTTGGGTACTGCCCCCACCCTGAAACATTTAGGCAACATTTATGATTTAGCCATAGAATTAGAAAGCCCTGAATATGACCCCCTAAAGTAGACTGCTACAGGGTGGGTACTAGGGTACACTACCCAGCTGCAAGTTTAAGGGTGGGGCGTATGGATTCACGTCAACGGTTGGGGCGTCATGCTGCCATCAGGTGGATTGTGGAGGGATGTTGATACGAATTCTTTAGACTCTTTAGACCCCTTCATCAAGACAGCAGTAGCTGGTATCAACCTCGCATTTTGAGAGGAGTGGCAGCTTCTGTGTTCCTGCAGCAGTTGTTCGTGCATGTGCTTTGGTGCTTACGCGGCCCACATTTGGCTCGAAGAGCCCGGCAGAGTGGCGCCGAACTGCCGCCAAGGGCAGGTGGGAGGGGCCAGCCGTGTGGCTTGACGGTGTATCAAAGCAGGGAGCCAGACCCCTTGGCCTGTCTATACAAACCAAACACTAGCTCCTTCCTTCACAGCAGAATTACCCCAGAAGCCCTAATCTCTAAACCCCATAATTAATATGGGGGCCTAAACAATTACCAACTTTGGGCGTTCCTGATTATAAGTATAGCATAATGGGCCCCAAACACTTTGTTCTAATGATTAAGGCCCCTATACTATAGTACCCTTACAGATCCCCGTAGAGTAGCCCTTTCAGTGATCCCTTTGAGGGATCCCTTTGAGGGAACCCCTATTCTAATTATTTTATTATGGCCCCTCCATATCTATCTTCTTCCTGCCACACAGGATGCCGGTCAAGATTGTGAAGCAGGACGACCTGAGGTGGCCCGGCTTCCCACCTCCCTGCCTGGAGGCTCATACCCTAGGCCCCTTTTTTTAGGGCGCCTACTGTTTAAGATAGCAGATCCTAACCATAAACTAGGCATCCTAGGAAAGGGGTAGGGCTTGAGCCTCCAGGTAAGGACATGCAGCCCACAGCCTCAACTCTAAACCGCCTAAACCCCAAATCCCTAAACCCTGAATCAAAGCGCTACACTCACTACACCCCTAAGGCGCTACACACTGGACTGTAGAATCCCTATTGCAGCTATTGGAGAGGGCTCTGTGTTGTATTTATGCGTTTACACAAAGCTGATGTAAAAGGCTTTGCAAGCATGTTTTAATTGAGGCACATTCCTTGATTGAGGGGTTGTGGTCTCCTAAAGGGCGCGGCCAAGGAGACAGTATCCTCCAAATGGAATTCCGACGGCAAAGAACCAGACCGCAGATGATTTCCTCTTCCAGGCACCCGCCAGGGCTCCGGCAGCATGTTTAGAGTTGTGGTTGAAGGTTTGAGTTTAAACTTCTAAGGAAGTGTCCTTGTTAGGATGGGGCAGCATCCCTTGTTTCAAAGCAAGAAGCAGTCCTGGATGAAGAGGTTTCCCTACACCTGAAAAGCGAGGATCTTGAATTGAAGACACAACCCACTCCCACAGCCGAAATCTGCAGCTTCTGTGACAGTGATGGCCAGAATGGAAGTTCTCCTCAAACCAAATCCTGGGGAGGCCTGCCAGTATTCCGTGAGCATGGGCAACCTGGACCGTGCCATCAAAAAGGTCCGCCGGGCTATGTATATTCGTATACGCACACGAAAACGCATGCAAAACACATGTACAAAAACATATACCTGTTTGCATACATACACGTGCACGTATACATATACATGCCCATATACATAGTTGCATAAACATAAATACATACACATACAGATACAAGCACATATACATGGTGTAGACATACACATAAATACGTATACATACGCAGACAGGTGCACATGCACATACACATACATACACACCCACATCCACACACAGTCGCTAATACACGTATGCATGCACATACGCAATCATGCACATACACAGACACAACCGAATACATATACATTTACATACCTACATACCTACGTACGTACATACATAAACACATACACAGAAAACTACAGATATATGCATGTCAAAAGATCAGCAATCAGATCTACAATTTGTGTGCGTGTGGGTCTGTGTGTGAGTGTGTATGTATGTAATGAGTGTGTGTAGACGTATGTGTATGTTTGGTATATTCATACATAAAAGATGCATACTTGCATGCATGTGTGTATGCACTTGCGCGTATGTGTCAATATACATACCTGCACACACAAACACAGACACACACACACACACACACCTCTATATATATATAGAGAGAGAGAGAGAGAGAGAGTTTAACATATGAATGCTTCTCCATGCTCGGAAACTATGGATGAAATGCGGCCTGGCAGGGAGCCAATGTCAACGCCCGGAACAAGGATGGCAATACACCTCTCATGCTCGCCTGTTCCTGCCTTAGCTGGAGGATCAGGGGACTTAGTAAGTAAGGTTATAGGTACCCTGATTTGGGTTATAAGTACTTGTATGTATAGTTGCCTTATTTATAGCCCTAGTTACTAAGTCCCATGATGATTTAAGTAGCTGGTAATTATATAATAGCTATATCAAGGGTATATACCTAGTAGTCCTTGTTCAGGGTCCCTCCTTTTACCCTTGGAATCATGGTTTGAGGGCTGTGGGGCTTTTGGATTCTTAGGACGACGCGCTGCGCCTGTAGATGTCCTTGTCCAGATGTCGTTCTGCAAATTGTCACGAATATTGGGAATATAGCTCAAATCATAATATGGCCTTATATAGTTTAAGCCTTATTCCTTAATTAAGGGGTCTTGGGCTCTCCTATTATCACTGGTAGTTTCAACTATTAAGAACATGCTTGCTGTTATGCTTTTGATTATGACTTTCATTGTTATCGTTATCATTATTTGAGTGTTTGTTCTTATTGAGTTGTCGTTCCCCAAAGGGTCCTATGTACTGATATAGTAGAATGTAAGGTTTCCATATTAGGAATCACTATTATGGCCTAGGGAAGTATCCCCCATAAAACCCTAAACCCTAAACCCCCAAAGCCCTAAGCCCAATAGATCCCTTCAAAGGAATCCTTAAAGATCCCTTTAAAGGAACCCTTAAAGATCCCTTATAGAACAAAGGACCCTTTGGGTTCTTGTTGAGGTCAAAACTGGACAGGCTCCCAGTTCCTGCCATTCATCAACAAGCTGCTGGACGGGGTGGGTCTAAGGGGCGTAAAGAGGCTTAAAGGGTATACTATAAAGCTACTCCTACGGGTACTATAAGGGTACTATAAGGTTTGGAGTTAAGATGGTTGGAGGGTTTAGGGTTTAAGGCTTTAGACTTAGAGCTTTCGGGATGGTGTTTGGGTTTAAGGTTAAGGCTGTAGGGTTTCAAGAGGGGGTTTGGGTGTAGGGTTCGAGGGTCTTGGGCTTTAGGGTTTTAGCTTTCTTGGTTCCTTGTTTTGGTTTTGGGATGAGGGCTTGGCTTTAGGGTTGAGGGGTTTGGCGTTCTTGGTTCCTTTTTTTGTTTTGGGATTAGGGCTTTAGGTTTTAGCTTTCTTGGTTCTGTTTTTGGTTTTGGGATTAGGGCTTGGGCGCCAGGGTTGAGGGGTTTAGGGTTTAGGGCGGAGCTTAACCCCTGAACCCTGGCTCTCTGCAGCAGATTGCAAGCCGCGAGCCAAGCAAAGTCTCTCCCTCACGCTACCCGCTACCCTGCCCCCCAGCGCGCAGGAGAGCAAAGCCGATGTAAACGTAGAAAGCGGCTGGGGTTTCACCCCGCTGGACAAGGCGGGGGGTTGGGGCGTAAATGGATTTTGGGGCCGCTTATCGGCGTTCATTGAACTGACGATCCGCCTTTCATCCTAAACCCTACACCCTATAAGCCTTAAACCTTACTTAGAGGATCATGGGACTTAGTAAGTAGGTTATAATTGGGGTTATAAGTCCCCTAAGTGGGGTTATCCTAACTATAACCTACTTATAACCTTACTTACTAAGTCCCATGAGCCTTCAAGTAGCCTTAAACCGTATATCCATTGGAGTCCCCTGCCGTTAGAGGCTCTCACACGGCTTCTGCGGTTTAGGCTTTGGATCCATTGAGGCCTGCAGCTTCTGTTTCAGAGGAGTTCGTGTCCTTTTGATTTCGTTTAGGACCTTGAAGCTGTGCAGAGGCACAAATGCCTGAGGTGCACGCACTTCACATCCGCACTACCCTACTTGGGAGGATCACGGGACTTAGTAAGCAAGGTTATGCGTAGATTCCTTGGTTAGAAGTAATTTAATTCTAAGTATTCTAAGTACAGCCAACTGGTTTCGAACCCTAGCTACTAAGTCCCATGATCCTTTAAGTAGAGCCCCAAGCTTAAAGCCCTCAATCAGATACCCAATGCCTGCAGATCTTCGCACATCCAAAGGCATGACAATGCTTGGTAAACGGTACGGCCTATCTATGCGAAACAGAAAACTGTGCAACGTGTAGGAACCTGCAAAAAACCCTTAAAGAACCCTTCTAGAAGCCTTACAGAACCCTTGTAGGACCCTCTGTAGGATGCTTGTAGGAAGATTAAAACGGGTCCTGCGATTTTCGGGCTAGCGAACCCGGTGTCGCTTCCCCAAGTTTTGGGTTTAGGGCATCTGAAGGAGGCTGAAAAACTGAATAACCCTAGGCTGCCCTGAGCTTGCATTCATCATTCATTGAAATCGAGAGGTACCGAGCCGTACATTCCTCCAAACCCTAAACTCCCTCAACCCTAAACGCCCTAAACCCTAAACCCTAAACTCCCTCAACCCTACCCCCTGCTCTTCAAGCCTAAACCCCCCGAGACCTCTTCAACTCGAGAGGTTACCCAGCTCCTGAAGGATCCTCAACCCTAAACCCTAAACTAAACCCTAAACCCCATTTCCTAAACCTTAAACCCTAAACTCCCTCAACCCTACGCCATCCTCTTCAAGCCTAAACCCCCCGAGACCTCTTCAACTCGAGAGGTTACCCAGCTCCTGAAGGATCCTCAACCCTAAACCCTGAACTAAACCCTAAACCCCATTTCCTAAACCTTAAACCCTAAACTCCCTCAACCCTACGCCATCCTCTTCAAGCCTAAACCCCACGAGACCTCTTCAAAAATTGAGAGGTTACCCAGCTCCTGAAGGATCCTCAACCCTAAACCCTAAACTAAACCCTAAACCCCATTTCCTAAACCTTAAACCCTAAACTCCCTCAACCCTACGCCATCCTCTTCAAGCCTAAACCCCACGAGACCTCTTCAAAAATTGAGAGGTTACCCAGCTCCTGAAGGATCCTCAACCCTAAACCCTAAACTAAACCCTAAACCCTATTTCCTAAACCTTAAACCCTAAACTCCCTCAACCCTACGCCCTAAACCCTATTTCCGAAACCCTAAACCCTAAACTCCCTCAACCCTACGCCCAGGTTACCGAGCTCCTGAAGGATCAGGAGGCGGCGAGGCTCCAGGAAATTCGCGCACAGGAGGCTGGAAGCGCGATTCCTACTGCTGATGAGATAAATCCTAGGTTTCCTTTAAAGGGCTCTATAAAGGTACCTTTAAGGGGTTCCTTTAAGGGATCTATAGGCGGTTTAGTTGGGTTTAGGGACATAAATCCTGCATAACCCTTTAAAAGGAATATACCATAGTTCCCATAGTTTAGAGCCCTTAGGGTCATGCAGGATTTTGTCCATCAACAGTATGTGCGTGATAAATTCAAGCGGTCTCAGGAATTTGGGTCTGTTTTTGGTGTAACAAAACTCCAAGGGGCCATTGTACATATGTCGTTTTACTATGGTTCTAAGGGCGCCTAAGTCCCCCCTGAAGGTGTAGGGGTGTGGAAAACAAGGGGTTTAGGATTTCGTGTTTTTGAAGCATTCGTTTGTTTGAACGGCCATGGGGGGGGGACCTGTTGGATCTTAGGAAAAAGAGCACTTGAAGCGGTATCCTAACACAGGGGCCTAAATAATTACCAATACCATTTTGGTGGTTCCTGAAGATCAATAATAGTATAATGGGCCCCAAGATCAGGCCTTAAACCCTAAACCCTTCAACGAACTCATAAACAGACCGACAGCGCTGAGCATGACAAGCAGGAGAGGCGGGAGATCATGGAAGGACGAAGCATCGTGGGCTACGGCTATGGAACTGCCGAGGCTCGCCCCATCAAAAAGGGCTTAGGGTTTGGGGGTTTTGGATTTAGGGTTTGGGGGTTGAGGGTTTGGGACCCGATCCGCAGGCAAAGTGTCGAGTCTGTCTTTTGCGGAAGTAGCCCTTAAACAGCCTTCAACCACCCTTTTAGCTGTCGGAGTAGTTTCTGAGTGTAGTTCAATTTGCCTGAAGCCTGGTTGGGTACTTAGTAAGTAAGGTTATAAGTACCCTAGTTGGGGTTATCAGTACTTATATGTATAGTTACCTTATTTATTACCCTAGTTACCAAGTCCCATGATCCTTTAAGTAGACCCTAAACCCTAAACCCTACAAATCCCTTTAAGGAACCCTAGAAATCCCTTTAAGGAGCCCTTTAAGGAGCCCTTTAAAGTTGCTAAGTCCCATGATCCTTTAAGTACCCACAGCCAGGAGCAGCGGCAGCACCTGGTTCCCAACCAACCCCTGGCCGACGAGCTTGACACCTTCAAGTGCCTGCCGCAGCTGCGGGAGCCCGGGGCTATACGGGTTCCTTTCAGGGGTTCCTTTAAAGGTTCCTTCAATGGTTCCTTTAAAGGATCTATGAAAGGAGCCTTGTGCTATAGCCAACTGCACCTCAAAAAGCCCTGCCAGGCCCCCCGCGTCTGGTTTCGGTGTTTAGGGTTTTAGGGTTGTAGGCTTTAGGGTTTAGGGCTTTAGTGTTATTAAGAATATAAGATTTGAAGGTTGAGGGTTTAAGGGTCTAAGGGTTCAGAAGGGGTTTGGGGTCCAGGGGTCTACGGGTTCAGGGTCCAGAGGTGTAGGGTTTACGGTTTCAGGGCTTAGGCTTCAAGGGCTTCAGGGCTCGGGGTTTTCAGGCTTTGAGGGTTCAGGCTTGGGGTCGACATCACCCGAGTTTTGGGGCACGCGGCAGGAGGGTTTTTGGGGGGTTTTGCGCCCTAAACACTTAAAGCCACAAGGTCGATGAAAGAGGAGCTTTAAAAGCAGTCGGTCCTTAAAGGGATCTATAGGGCTCCTTAAAGGGATCTATAGGGGTTCCTTATAATGGGATCTATAGGGGTAGTCTTACCTTTGGTTAGTAGGGAATGGAAGAATGGTAGTAAGAGTAGTTAGTTATAATTGTACCCCATTCCTCCATTCCCTACTAACCAAAGGTAAGAAAAAACGTGTCCACTTTCCGCTTTCGTTTGCAGGAGTGCAAGAAGTTGCTGGAGCAGAAGGGTGCGAAGCCTGGCCAAAATCCCTTCAATCCGGCCTACCTCACCACGGAGGACTTAGGGTTTAGGGTTTAGGGTTTGAGGAAGCTAGGGAACAGAAATTCTCGGCTGATGGGCAAAATCCTGCATTGTAAACAGTCTCGATTTTTGTTCCTCAGCCGCAGTGGGGATGTCCCTAAACCCTAGGCCCTAAATGTTGTTGCAGGCCCTTCCGCAGTTCTTGTCCTCAGAGCGTTTGCCAGGAGTTCGTGGAGAGACGAGATGCCATCTTAGAGAAATACAAGGACTGGGAAAGGGCTTTTATCCAAGGGTAAAAGGAGGGACCCCTAATAAGGACCCCTGGGTACATACCCTTATAGCTATGATAAACCCATTATATAGCCCATTATAGGGTAGGGGTCCCCGTTAAGGGTCCCTCCTTTTCCTCTTGGATTTTAGGCTTTGTGGCTGGCAGGGGTTATCGGGCTTACTGGGCTGGCAGGGCTTCTGAGTTTTAGGTTTATGGGGTTTAGCGTTTGGGGCTTAGTGTTTAGATGTGTTTAGTGTATCGGGTTTAGGGTTTAGGGCCTTTTGAGGGGTGTAAGCTCAGCTCTCACATTGCGAAGCTTCTTTCAAATTCAATGAACCCGCACGCTGCATGTCACTGGGCAATGTAGCGCTCGCAATATGTTGTGATCATGTTCAGTTGGAAAGAAACATGGCATATTCTGCCCCAAAATCCAATTTTCACTATTGCCATGTGAGTAAGACTTTTTTGGCCCTTGATTAACGGAATGCTTATAGGAATGCTATAGCACCGCTCTTATGAGTCTAAACCCTGAAACTCTAAAGCCCTAAACCCAAAAACCCTAAGCCTCTAAACCCCTAAATACACCCTCTTCGGCCAACCTTCCAGGACGCGAAGTTCAAATATTCAGGTCACTGAGCACCACTGGTGAGCCTGGAGCATGGCCCAACTATGCTCTTCATCTCGTGGCTGTCCCTATCATAGGGTTTAGGGTTTAATTACTATAGAGTGATAGGATACGAAAGTATGCTATCACCGAGTAGTCCCCAAAGAGTAGCATAGTGATATAAGCCATACAGTATACTACTACCCCCAAACGCATCCTTACTTGGAGGATCAGGACTTAGTAAGTAAGGTTTTAAGTCCCCTAATTGGGGTCATACGTAGGTAAAAGTATAGTTACCTTAGTTATAACCCTAGGTCCCATGATCCCTTAAGTAGACACTAAACCCTATAGATCCTTTTCAAGGAACCCTAGAGATCCCTTTAAGGAGCCCTTCAAGGAACCCTACTTAGGGTTCGTTAACCCCCTTTGGTCCCATCTTCCCTGTGCTTTGCTCCGCGGTGGCCCGGCTCGGCAGTCTTCCCCGGCGTGAGAGGCAACCTGCCCCTGAGCCCCGAGAAGAAAAGGAGCGTTGCCATAGGGTTTAGGGTGTATAAAGTTTAGGGTTTGGGAGTTTGGAGTTGGGGGACCCTGGGGGATACAGACCCTCTCAATAAGGCCCCTGTTAAGAGAGCCAGAAGTAGGGTTCAGAAGGGGTACCCTTTAAGGGGTCTCCCTAAGAATACTACCTAGGGCTTAGAGTTTAGGGTAAAGGGTTTAGAGTTTGAGAAGAAAAGGAGCGCTGCCATATCTGTGAGGATTCCTCAAAAGAGTTCTATATGGGTTCTTGTGAGTGGTATCAAAAGGGTGCTTATAAGGACTTCAAGAAGGGCTTACTTATATTGTGTCAAAGGGTGCGTATAAGGACTTGAAGAAGGGTTTTTTACTGGGGTCAGAAAATGAGTAGTAGTGTTCTCTTCATAAAGCCTAAGCCCATGAAGTTTCCTTTGTAGGGTCTGCTTCGGGGGAGGTTCTACATGGGCTTTCGAAGGGTTCGAGACTGAAGGTTCGGCAAAAGTGATGATACTATTCTTTGCTCAAGGGATCATGGGAATCATGGGTCTTAGTAACTAGAGTCACACGGCTGTCCCGCGAAGGGATGTACGCCAGACTAAGGTGAAGAGCGGCACCCATAACTATGACAACCGTTACTAAACTCTAAAACCCAAGCAAAAACCCTAAATCCAAAGTCCTAAACCCGAGGCCCTAAGCCCAAAACCCTATACCCCTGAACCCTGAACCCCACCCCCCCGTGGCACCACCGCCATCGGTATCAGTAGTATCAGGGGTTTATGACTACAGATCTGAGGTCCGAGGCCGCCTCCATACCGACTGTGATCTCCGTGGAGCTGGACCTGTGCTTTCGGAATGGGGGGAGAGGGGGGGGCTTAGGCTTTTTTTAGGGTTTAGGGTTTCGGATTAGGGAGCTGAGGCTTAGGCTTTCGGGGTTTACTTGGAGGACTGGGGGACTTATTAAGTAAGGTTATAAGTGCCCCAAATGAGTACTTATAAGTATAGTTACCTTATTTATACCCCTTGTTACCAAATCCCATGATCCTTTAAGTTCGGATTAAGGGGCGGGGGGCTTAGGCTTTCAGGGTTTAGGGTTTCGGATTAAGGAGCTGAGGCTTAGGCTTTCTGGGTTTAGGGGTTTAGGGGCCGGATAATTTTGTAGTATCCTTAAGGGAGGGGGGTCCAACGGGGGTATATAGCCTAGTGATCCCTAATTCTCCCTAGTACTCCCTAAGGCTCCCTTACAGTCCCCTAAGGATTCCTTATACCCTCCCCCCTTGAACCACCCTCCCTTAAGGATCCTATAATCATTGGGGTTGATTCAGGCCTCCGGATCTCGCGAGTTTCGGAGCTTTTGAAGTTGTAGCGGTTCTTACCCATAGGCCATAGGCCCCATAGTAGTACGTAGTCATGGGGGGGAGGGGTGGACATAAATCCGAGGCCGTGCATCAACAGCGCACAACGCCTCAAAGAGAAGGAAAGATCAAGCCCTCAACCGTAGATTTAAAAGCCCCTCAGCTCCATGTCACTCTATATTGTCAGACTCCCTGCTTCTCAGCCTGGGCTTTTGGGATGCGAGGTATCGAATTCCGAAAGGCCGGTGTTATAAGTACCTCAACTACGGCTATAAAGCATTATCACTATGGCTGCCTTAATTAGATCAGTATGGTACCGAGCTGCTATAAGCTATTATCACTACAGCTGCCTTAATCAGAACAGTAGTACTTTAATTGCGGCTAAAAGTAAGTATCACTATAGTCACTGTAGTATAGATGCCTCAGTTATAACATCATATCAGTATGGTATCGAGTTGCTAAGTCCCACTTAAAGGATCATGGGACTTAGTAACTAAGGTTATAAAAATAAGGTAACTATACTTACAATTACTTATAACCCGAATTAGGGCACTTATAACCTTACTTACTAAGTCCCCTGATCCCCTAAGCAGGACCCTAAACCCTGAACTAAACTCTATAGATCCCTTTAAGGAACCCTATATAGATCCCTTTAAGGAGCCCTTTAGGAACCCTTACTATTTTCCCCTGATCCTCCAAGCAGGACCCTGTGAATGCGATGGTGGCGCGCACCAACCTCGGGGCTTCCTTTCAGATCGCACGGTTGATGATCTAAATCCTGGGGTTCCTTTAAAGGGATCTATAAGGGGTACCTTTAAGGGGCTCCTGTAAGGGATCTATAGGGTTTAGGGTTTAGGGTTGATGATATAAATCCTGCATTACATTAAGGACCCTAAACTATGGGAATTATGGTATATTCCTTATTATGGGTAATGCAGGATTTATATCATCAACCGAAGCACCCAAACCTTCCAAAAATCCCGTAATTGAGGAATATACCCGTAAGGGTTCCTAAAGGGATCTAACTAAGGGCTCAAGAAGGGAATTGAGGAATATACCTTAAGTCATATTCGGGATCCTACTATAATTTAAGGTATAGTCCTTAACTCAGGGATGTTGGAAGATCTGGGGAGAGGAGTCCATTGAGTTGTGCACGGCTCGAAACAAGCCCTAAACCCCAAACCCACCAAGCCCAAGAACTTGAGAACCCAAAACCCTAAACCAAACCAAAACCCAAAGATCCCCGAACCCTAAACCCTAAACCCTAATATCATGTGTATATCTAAGTCTATATCACATATATATATATATATATATATGGCATGTGTATTATGTATATATGTATGTATATATATATATATATATATGCGCACACACACACATATATATATATATATATATATACATATATGCGTCTCATATCCCTATACCCCTTTCTTCTCAGGCTCCGTCCACTGTCTCGCGGGCTTGGCCGGCGAGATCGAGGCACCATCAACACAACCAGCAAAGTACTCTTCCTGCACTTGTTTTTACTGTTGCTATACATTATCATTATACGATTATAAGTGTAACTTTGTCGTATTCATACATCATTAGCATGGTCCATATTTTTACTACTATTATTTCTAGTCTCATTATTATTAGTACTATTTTTTGCGGATGGTATTCGGATCATCATGACGACTGCTATTTCTACTATCCTTAATAGCATTGGTTGCGGCTTTTCTGGTTTTTTATCTATACCAATACTAACCTTTACTCTTGCTGTGCTTACCACTGGTGTCATTATTCATATCGTTGGTATTGTTCTAACAACGACTTTTGCGGGAGGCAAAAAGCTACTACAGGTGTCCGAATGTTAGACAAGTACACCCGAAAACCATAAACCCTACTTCCCTACGTCTAGGCACATGCGCAGTCTTGAAATGGCGCTGGTTTTACGCACGGGATCTGTTTAGAGTGGCTCGAGCAACTTTCAAAGCAGGAAGCTTCTGATTGTGCTATCAGGCCTGTGCTACGAAGGCCTGAGGAGCCATGAACGGCTGCTTCGCAGCCTTCTTGATTCTCTTCGCGCAGGATGCCTGCAGGGTGAATGGTTTTGGGCAAGGTTTGGGGCTACTACGGTGGATGATATAAATCCTGCATTACCTTAAGGACCCTAAACTATGGGAATTATGGTATATTCCTTATTATGGGTAATGCAGGATTTATATCATCAACAGTATGGTTAACGGCCAAGGGTTTAGGGCGTCTCTTCTTGCAGGACGCCTGCGCAGCCCTGCTCCGTCGCGAAAGCAAGCCCGTTCCCGTGGTAACGCCCTTGCTCCCACGTGGGAGCCGCTACAGGCAGCTCCCGAGGCCATCAGCGCCCTTCATGACCACTCCGGGCATGGAAGTGTCCCCTCGTCAGTTTCAGGAACTCGGGGGTTTTGGGATTCACTTATAGGGGTTGGGGTATAAAGGTCTGGTTTCGGGTTGAAGCTGTAGGGTGTAGGCGTTCAGATTTGGCGTTCTAGTTCAGGGTTTAAGTTTAAGCTGTAGGGTTTAGGTGCTAAGATTTAGGCTTCTGGTTCAGGGTTTCAGCTGTAGGGTTTAGACGTTAAGATTTAGGCGTGCCAGTTGGAGGACCTGATGCGCCACACATCCACGGGCCGAAAGAGGAGGCACGGCCTGCGCAAGTCCCTCTTCGGGTCCTACGGTGCAGAGTCCCTTCGTCAATCTTAAGCATCCTTTTTGTTGTTTGTGGTTTGTGTTTGCTAGTGATATTGATACAATACCGAGTGCTAAGACTAACTACTAGAAATACTCACAAGGGTACTAGTGACTGGCACAAACACGAAAGTGTTATTTAGGAGCGAGCCCCTAAAAGGTATCCCCCTGTTTTTCCTTCCTTGGTAGCTGAGTAGATACACTATGATACACTTTACACTTATTGGGATATTATTACCCACTATATAAAGCTAAAAGTGTACACTTGTTGGGAGCTTATGAACTCAGCAACTAAGCTTCCCCAGACCCTAAACCCTAAACTTACCTTTGGTTAGTAGGGAATGGAGGAATGGGGTACAATTATAGCTGCTATTACCAGCATTCTTCCATTCCCCACTAACCAAAGGTAAGTAAGCCCCGAAGAAAAGATTCATGGCCGACGCAAGAGAGGAGTCCAG